TCCACCCAGCTTGTCACATTTGGGCATTTTATTTCTAAAAGGCCAAATGGTTGTTGCTCCTCAGGATCGTAAATAATTCCGTCTGGAGATGTCCCCATCCATGGTGCGTCAGGATGGATCAGGAACCCACAGGGGTAGTGGTTGACTTCCCTTACCCTGCAGTACTCCTCTACTGCTGTTGGCTCTAAGGCAAGCCCCCGCCGCATGTCAGCAGTCTGACTGGAGGGTCTCAGAAGCCTTTTGGCAAGATTTTCAGAAGAGCTGTCACCCCTGGTGTGACAGACCTCCCTAAATCTTGTTGAGGCAACACAACACTTTCTTAGTTGGTGCCACTCTGCACAGAAACTCTGCTCCCGCGTGCTGCTCTCAATTTTGTGAGACATCTCTAATGTTGTCTCAAGGGACGTCATATGGTGGTGCTCTTGTTCTGAACAAACATACTCACAGGTGGAGGGTTCAAGCCTGTAATTGAAGAGTGGAAGCTGTGGGGGAGAAGGGGCGTCTTGGTGTGGACGGGTCCTGGGAACTATCCTTGCTGGCAGCTGATATGACAGAACGCTTCCCTCTTGTACCGGACCAAACAAAGAGTCAACAAGAGGGACATCGTTGGAGACAGCCATTGTGGTTATCATTGGCGCTTCTTCAGCTGGAAGTCCCTTGTACACATCCTGTATCCTTAGGGTGGAGATGAGTGGAAGAGGGCTGGTAGCACCTTTATACAAGTTGCTTCTGTGGAGAAAAAGAAAACTGTCATAAACAAGAAATGAATATTCAAATGATAAAATTAATATTAAATGAAGCCTATGTTATTGTATTTTAGGGATTCAAATTATTGTCTTGTTTAAAAACAAAGTTGAATTATTTACTTATTTGCATTTTTAAAGTATTTCTAATATAGTACAAAATAAACTTCCATCCATCCATTATCTTTTACTCGCTTCTTCCATTTTGGGTCACTGAGAACATGCAAACTCCACCCAGAAAGGCCCCCGGACTGGGATTTGAACCAGCAACCTTCTCGGTGAGAGGCAGCAGCTCTACCAGTTGCACCACCGTGCTGCCCACAAAATAAACTTTTAAATTAAGTTTTTGTTGTACATGTGTTCTGTTTTGTTTTTAAATTATATTAAAAAAAATTGTGCATGTGTGAATTGTGCATGTGTGTCTGTGGTCTTTAAATTAAAACAAACCTAATTCCTTCAAAGATTTTCCTCTCTCTTGGTCTTGCTGACAGGACGACCATGTCATTTACTGGACCAGGTTTTATGCCCTGCATCCAAAAACAACATTGCTGTAAATATTGAACTAAAATTCATAAACAGGATTAAAGACTCATGTATATGTAGTTACCATTGTCCTTGGTTTATGCCACTTCTGTTCGGTATCTGTGCAGCTTAGGACTGGAGGTACAGCTGGAAGTTTCAACTGGGAGTAGTGAGCCGTCTGGAACAGCAGAGCTGCCACATGGCTGCACAAGACTGTACCTGCCACACAGGTGCACTGGCATCCCTGAAACTCCACCGGCTTTGATTCCCTCAGCACCATCTGTGTACAATACCAAATATTTGTTAAGAGACCAAAATGTACCAGCTCCAAGTGCTATTATAAAAAGACAACCATAATTATAAAACCATTAATAAATCTTTTAAGTAATCATTAAAAATGATCAAAGTGAAATGAGAAAAAATGTTAAGACACCTTTAGCATGTAAAATATATTAAAATATATTTTGTCTAAGCTCACTTTACTCATTAAACTAAAAAGAACTCAAAACACAATCTCATTTCTGTGAGAACCATCACTGTTATATTCTTTCTGATACTCCCTAAGTTTATGTATTACATGACAACCCAGGTTCCATTTGATGCAGTTCAATCATATTCTTCTTCTTTATTTTTTTGTTGCAGTGACAGAATTCACAGAAACTTGATTTGAAAATAACAAACTTGGAGCAACTGTTCCTTTGTGTACCTCAGAAATAAATAAATAAAATAAACACAAGTTGGGCTTTTTTTGTTGCTTTAATCAATCAGAGATAACTTGTGTAGCCAATTAAGGTTATGTGATTTAGTTTGACTATCATATATAAAATGTGTACTTCTTCAAAGTCCTACTAGCTTCTTAAAACACAGCCCTGTAGTGAACATGTCGGGTCCCTTTGACTTACACTCAAACAATGGGGCTTCTGGCTCTTCTTCATGGAACGGAAACACTCAGCCCTAACTGTGACTTCTCCTGCCTCCTTGTTTGAAACTAAGATTTGTGTTAAACAGAAACATTGTAGAGACAAAACACTTAACGTTTACGCAACAATTTCACAAGATTAGCCATGTTAGCTGTGCTATATGTAGCCTATATGAGGCAGTTTGGTGAACTGAAAAACAAATACCGACTTACCTTCATAGTTATTTATGTAGTTGGACACATAAAGCTTAAATCCTTTGTCCTTTTTGGATGTGGGCGCTTTCGAGGACGTCTGAATAATTCTGTAGACATCATTAACAGACATTGTCGGCAAGTCCTGCAGCGAACGCGTGAAAAACGCCATTGCTAACACTGTGTTGCCTGAGAGCCGGAAGTGCGCAGCCCGGCTAATGAATGCGGAAGCGCTAGAACGGAAGTCCGTGGCATATAGTCCATTGATTAATTCAGGATACATAAATAGTCTCTTCATGGGATAATTTGTATTTCTGGATTCAAATCAATGAAATAACAGTTCCTGTCCCATGAAGGTCTTCAGAGACAGATTGTTGTTGGAGGCCTAGTTCACTACACTACTCTTTCATTACCTAAAATACCTATATGGGCTGGAGTCCACATTATTACTATATTTTTGTTTTGTTCACATAGTCTATGATGGACAAACAGAATCTCATAAAAGATGTGTTGGTGATTACTTGAACTTCCCTTTTCAATGCTTAATAGTGCTGATAATGAATCACTGCAAACTATAATTGTACTTATTCTACTATCCTCCACCCATTCTAAAGCCAATAATATAGCACATAATTCTACTGCATATATACTCAGAAAATTAGATGTTCTTTTCGAAAGCTTAATCTTTAATTCAGGAATCACTACTGCTACACCAATTGCTTCAGTTTTTGGATCTTTTGAACCATCTGTATAAATTTGCAGGTAATCATTATACTTCTTCTCTACTCGATCATAAAATTCTTGACAGATATCTGTAGTTTTCCTTTTCTTAATATTTAATAACGATCTATCTACATTAAAATATCTCCATGCCCATTTAGGCCTTAAGGACCATAATACTGTTGAATTAAATTATTTGTTATATACTTTAAATGTTCTTGCTAAATTATCCCCAATCCACCCAAAACTATTTTTAAGCTCCTTTCCTCTTTCCCAACAATTTTCTAACACTTTCTTAACCGGATGAGTTTCATTATGTCCTTTCAAATTTATCCAATAATTAACCATTAACTGCTGTCTTCTAATGCATAATGGCATTTCTCCTGATTCTACTTGTAGAGCACATACTGGAGTTGATTTTACTGGCCCTAAACAAATTCTCAGTGCTCTAGCTTGGATGACATCTAATTTATTTAGTTGAGTTTTAGCCGCTGATCCATACACCACACTCCCATAATCTATTCTTGACCGAATTAATGACGCATAAATATGTTTAAGTGACTCAAATGTTGCACCCCATGTCAACCCTGCTAAACACCTAATAATGTTTAGTACCTTTTTACCCTTCTCTATGATATGCTGTATGTGATTTCCCCAAGTTAATTTCTTATCAAGCACTACTCCCAAAAAACAAAAATAATCAACCCTTTCTAACTCTTTTCCATATAATTTTAACTTTTTATTAACTCCGATCTTTTTATTTGTGAAGAACATGACTTTTGTCTTTTCAACTGAAAATTTGAAACCCCACTCTATTCCCCACTTACTTACTTTATTGATCCCTTCCTGAAGTTTTAAAATAAGATGTTCCACATTTCTCCCCCTTTTCCATAATGCTCCATCATCAGCAAAAAGTGATTTACCATAACTGAAAGATAAATCTTTGAAAATATTATTAATCATAACTGAAAATAGTGTAGGGCTTATCAGACTTCCTTGAGGGGTTCCATTTTCTATTTTACATTGTTGTGATATATGCGATCCTATTTTAACTTGAATAGTTCTGTCATATAAAAAAATCCTTTAACCAATTAAACATGTTTCCTCCTATTCCTGCCTGATGTAATTTAATCATTAACCCTTCTCTCCATATCTAAAAAAGTTAAATCTGGTCCTCTGGACATTAAAAAAAAAAAAAAAAATGTAGAAACGTTTCGTCTCTCATCCAAAAGACTTCCTCAGTCTGAGGTGCTGTTTTCAGCTCTTTTTTTTTTTTTTTTGAATGTCCAGAGGACCAGATTGAACTTTTTCAGATTTTTCTACCTGGATTATTGAGCATGCATCAGGATATTTTGAACCTTCTCTCCATAGCATATCGTATGCTTTTTCTACATCAAAAAACACAGAAACAACAGTTTCCTTATTAATCTGAGCTTTTCTAACATCATCTTCTAAAATAAAATAGGATCCATTGCTCCTCTTCCTCTATGAAAACCACTTTGATAGTGTGTAATTATGTTTCTTGATTCTAAATAATGCATCAATCTCTTGTTCACCATCCTTTCCATCAATTTACACAAATTAGAGGTTAAAACAATTAGTCTGTAATTTCCAGGATTACTATGATCTTTCCCATGTTTCTTTATTGGGATAATAATTGCTTCTTTACATCTATATGGTAGACGCCCTTCTCTCCATATCTTATTAAATAATATTAATAATTTATCTAATACTTTATCGCTTAATTTTTTTTAACATATTATAACATATCTCATCTTTCCCTGGTGCACTGTTCCTAGTTCTACCCAAAGCTCTTTTCAATTCTCCAATAGAAAAAGGACAGTTCATCAGATCTTCATTAATACTCTTTTCTTCTTTTAGTTCTCTCCCTTCTCTGTTTTTCATCATCTGATAAATTTTCCCCACTATGTATTTCCACAAAAGTACTTGCTAAAATATCAGCCTTTTCTCTATCAGTTATTGCTATTTGATTATTTTATTAAGTACTGGATAACTCCATTCTCTTCTGTCTACCCCCATTTTTTTGATCATTCCCCAAACTTCCTCTATTTGTGTCCTACTACCAATTGTATCACAGAAATCTCTCCAATATGTTCTCTTTGCTCTTCTTGTTGTACTTCTTACTTTTGCCTGTGCTTTTTTATATTCAATTAGATGTTGAAAATTATGGGACCTTTTGACCAGCTTAAATGCTTTATTTCAGAGTCAGAGTCAGAGTCAGAGTTTCTTTATTGTCATTCGCACCTCATGTGGTACATGTGGTGGAGCGAAATTATGTACACAGGGTCCCAGTTACATCCAACAATAAAATGTATAAGAAAAACAGCAATAACATCTAAGGTATGAACTAAGAAAAACATCAACTAAATATACACTAAGCACTCATAACATAAAACATTGAACATCAGCACAAACATGAACATGAGTCTGTGAGCAGATGTGCACGCATGAACACATCAACATTGAAACAGATCAGCAGCAACATGAAACAGATCAGCAGCAACATGATATGGTTTTTCACAGTGATTATTCTAGTTAGAGATTCATGAGTCTAACAGCCTCAGGGTAGAAGCTGTTCCTCAGTCTAGTGGTTCTACACTTAATGCTCCTTAACCTCCTTCCTGAGGGGAGTGGGGCAAAAAGTGTGTGTGCTGGGTGGGTGGGGTCCTTCATGATGCAGGTGGCCCTCTTCCTGCATCTGGAGGTGTAGATGTCTGTGATGGTGGGGAGATGGTGTTCTCTTACTGCTGTTTTACACTCAATATTCCACCACGGAACTAACTTTTTCCTATTTTTCTCTGAAGTCTTTGGAATAGATTCCTCAGCAGCTGTTAAATGCTATGACTAATCTCTTGACTCATTATTTCAATACTCCAGTCATTTTGCACATTTAAAAGTTTTCTTTCACATAAATACTTGTATTTTTCCCAATTTGCTTTCCCAAATATCCACTTTCCTCCTACCATTTCAGGACTCTGTATCTGACCCATCCTTATATTACTGGTTATAATATAATGGTCACTACCAAATGATTTATTTCGTGCTTGCCATTCACATAATGGAGCCAAGCAGCTAGATACAAATGTTAAATCTAATACAGATTCCTTACCAGAATTAACATATATTCTCGTCTTTGCTCGACTATTGCAACTCACTCCTTTTTGGTATCAGTCAGACCTCCATAGCTAGACTCCAACTGGTCCAAAATGCAGCAGCCCGGTTTTTGACCAGCACAAGCAAAAGAGAGCACATTACTCCTGTTTTGGCCTCCCTACACTGGCTTCCGGTTCACCTTCGAATCAAATTCAAAATACTCTTGTATGTCTATAAATCACTAAACAGTTCTGCCCCCTCCTATCTTACTGATCTGCTCCAGCCGTATGTCCCACCACGTTCTCTCAGATCAGCAGACCAGTTGCTTCTAACAGTCCCAGGAACCCGTCTCAAGCGCAGAGGTGACAGGGCCTTCTCTGTAGCAGGCCCAAGACTTTGGAATGAGTTACCTCTGCTCGTTAGACAGGCCCCCTCCCTCACAGTTTTTAAATCTCGCTTAAAAACACACTTTTATTCCCTGGCTTTCAGCACTGTGTGATCTGTGCTGAGTCTGTGTGCATCACACTGTGTTGGTCATGTTGCAGTTGTTGTTGTTATCCATTATTGTTTTTGTTAGTTTCTACATTTTTGGTGTCCTGTTATGTAATCTGTTGCTGTGTGCTTGTTCTGTTTGTCCCTGTACAGCACTTTGGTGTGCTTTGTCACTGTTTAAAGTGCTATATAAATAAATTGGTACGGTATTGGTATGGTATGGTTGCTCCACTATTCAAACATACAAGATTTTTATCATCCAAAAATTCTTCTAATATTACCATTCTAATGTATTTTCTCACTCCCCCATAGTGAATGATGTGCATTAAAGTCTCCACACCAAATATTTCCTTTCATACCTGTAGTATGCTAAGGCTAGGTTAGCTTCAGTTAGCTTAGAGCTCCACTACAGTCAATTTTTAATAACGGGTTCTCACTTTTTCGAGCTAATT